TATATATATATATATATATATATATATATATATATAATATATATATATGTTTGTGTGTGTGCTTGTGCGGTGTGTGTGTTTGTGTGTGAATATATATATATATATATATAATATATATATATATAGCTATATATATATATATATATATATATATATATATATATATATATATTAGGATTTAAACAACAAGAGGATTTGGATTTAAAGAGTACCAAAAGCGAACGAGAACCCGACGACTCGACGCCAATCGCGACGGCTGCGTGACGCGACCTTCCGCGACCCGATCTCGGCGCCACGTGGCAGCCGATGGGCGGATGGTGAGGCGAGGCGGAGGGCGGGCGGACTCTTCTTCCGGAGGCGACGGGCGAGGAAGGTCGGACCTCGCGTGATATGCATAAGTATATATTTATGTATTTCTATGATTTTATATATATGTATGTAGATTCATATGTATGTATATATATGTGTGTATATATGGATGATAATATATATATATATATATATATATATATATATATATTATATATATATATATATATATATATAATATGTGTGTGTGTGTGTGTGTATGTGTATGTATATATATATATATATATATATATATTATATATATATATATATATATATATATTCTCTCTCTCTCTTTCTTACTCTCACTCTCATTCTCATTCTCAATTACGTTAGAACTCACAACCACCGTTTTGTGATTATTTCTTTTGTTTTCTCTTTTCTCTCCCTCTCTCTCTTCCGCCTTAAACGCAGATGTTTCAAAACAAGGAAGCAGTTAAAAAGCTTGTGTCATCCTCTTCTTCCCTCGTGTTCCCAATACAACGATGTGCTTCCGTCAGCAGATCATCTGTGCATTTCTAAACTGTCTTTCACGAGCCTCACTCTGTCACGGGCTTTTGTGCTTTAAACATGTGCTTGACAATAGTCTTCCTTCTTGCAGCCCTTCGCGTTTCTGCCGAGGCTGAGGTGCCACTTTGGAAACTTGTGAGTATTTCTTTTCTGGACTTGAATGCTGTCTAATGTCAAGTTTCTTTCATTAGATAGATTATGTGTTGCATTTTGGTGATTGCAAGACTGAAAATCTTGTGTGTTGTCGAAAGAGACCATATAATAGTGCCCAAATTTCGTAATAATTAGAGTCTACTTATGGAGACATGTAGATTTGTTTTTACAGAATATATTTCTATAATTTCAAACAGCGATACATAGTTTTTTTTCTGCCTGCATGTACAAATATCGGATACATTTGTTAGATTTCTTGCGTAATGTGGATAGTCTCTAAGTGAATGAAGTCTTGGTTAGAGATACGTAATTATTTCACTTTCTTCCCAAACGTTCACCGAGTTTCCTGTAAAATGTTTGAAATATTCAATATCTTCATACTGAGAGGAATTTTTAGATTTTTTTAGAAGATTGTCAGAATTTTTTTATTGGATTTCCAATAAAATGCTAGAATCTGTTATTCGGTTTCTAATAGCGTTAGAAATTTTCGTTCCATTATTTCTTGGTTTAAAGATCCGACACACTTTCCTTTTTCGATTTTGAGTGAGAAATCGACTTTTTTTTTACGATTTGATTTTCTAGTCATTTTATGGTTTCTGCCGTTGTTCCCAAGTACATCCTGTCAGAGGATATGAACAGGGACTCCAGACGTGTTGTTTTGTCATCGGTGTCTTCTTTTTTATCGACTCTTACATTTTTCCATAAATCAGTGATATCTTAGAAAAAGTCAAAACACCCAATTATTTTATTTTCAATATGTGACCGCCTGTCGGAGGTTTTCAGAAATAAAATCCTTGAACCAAGGAATAATAGTTGTGGCCAAAGAATCTTTATTTATCTTTATTTATTTATCTTTATTTTCGGAGTCGCATATTCCTACGACTGACTAAAGTTACCCAATTTATCCATTATTATGTGGATTTGTTGATATCTATCTTTGCTCCGTGAGTGTCGTATGCAACATAGCGAGTGCATGTGTAAGGATGTGCCAAACCATTGCATGTTCCTTAAACAGCAAATGATCTTCTTTATTTCCATCCCATGTTTTCCTCGTTGTCTCAATCTTCAGAGAAGCGCGTTGTGGCAAGACAACAGTACAGATGTATGAATGATGTAATATGTGAGTGGAAGTTCCTAGTGAATGGAAGATTCCGTCTGCATGGGTGCCAGTGCCGTCCACGTGTCCTGTGTGTCACACGACCAATGATCGGAGCCCTTGTGTGAGGCCATGCTAGGTCAGCACCGCCCGAGGGTCCTGGGCGCCGGCTGCCCAGGGCGTGCGTGTCTGTCTGCGACTGTCCTTGGGAGTACGAGTGTACGGCAGCGGAACTCTCTTGTTATAGTACATGTATATTCCATGCAACCATTGTTCTCTGTCTATGTGTACTGATAAATAAGTAAACAGAAAGTGAGAGCATTTCATTTACTCCACACATTACAGAACTCTCTTTGCGTGAACATAGTGAAAAGTGCTTTGCGTCTCGCACCT